TCCACAGAAGCCCAGCTCCCTAGCCTGAAGGCAAGGAGCAGGTGGCATCCACTAACTCTCCCTTGGGGGACTCAAAACACACCAATGACCCTCTTCAAAGAAATCTGTACCCCACATTGTCTTCCTTCAACTCTGAACTCCTGACTCTCTTATACCCTCCACGAGGGTGAGAAAGTTTAAGTGGGCTACCATCTCCGTTGTAAATAGAGCGTATGGTCCAGGCATGTGGTATCTATTGCTGCCTCCCCCGAAACACCTGAACATCTTGTTACATGTGCACTGAAATACCTACATTCATTATTGAATATAGTAACACCTACCATCGAGTCCCTAGTTTATTCCAGACATGGCCCTAGGCCCTTTTAAAAAACACCTCCTTCAAAGTTATTCATTGGTATGTTTGTAACCACTTTACCACTTTTATAACTAAGACTTCATACGGATAACTGGCACTTAAAAACCAAACGAGTGTATGGTGTGGGTGTTTTAGTAAGATTCTCGGTAGAAAGAAAGACTCTGAAAGCTTGGGCATATGGAACTTCAGATCGGGAAAGGACTTCAGCGGTTCGTCAACCTCATTCATTTCCTTTGAGAAGCAGCCGAGGCACCTAAAGGCTGAGGGACTTGCCCAAGGTCATCACAGCGAGGGGAGGTGAGAGGTAGGCCATCACTTACAGTAGCTGCCTCTTATTTGTGAAAAATACTGAATCCTGATCCATACTGCTAATTTTAGTGTTTATCCAACCAGTGGCAGAAATGAAATTTTAATGCCAAATAACTATTTCAGAGTCAAAAAAACTGAACCAACTGGGCTTTCAACACTACATAAAGCTATATGAATCCCAATCTACTGTACAGGAGAATAATGGGTTCTTAATTGAATCTGTGCCTTAAAGTGGAAGAATGATTTTTAAATGAAAAACCCCATGGAGGTGGCGAGGAGAAATGAGTTTAGCCAGATGAATGATTCTAGCAAAAAGTAAGACGGCAAACCAGGCTGGAAAATAGCCTTTTTTTTTTTTTTTTTTTTAAGACCTCAACTATACAAAATGCAGATTATTTGTGCCCGGTGAACAGTGTAGTCCCATCTTCTTGGTCTTGGCACTGTTTCTCGTGTTCTGTTCCTTACAGATTCCCGGGGTTTTGTATATTCTCCTCCTTTTTTTAGAGTAACTGTATACAACACAACGGTGGTATTATTATCTTATCTAACGCATATTTCTGGGAACCTAGGACTTGCCATATTCAGCATTCTCAGACTTTGGTCCCGCCTTTTTCTCCTGCGGTAAAATCACCATAAGCTTTTAGGGCTGGCAGAGAACCTAGAGATAATTTAGTCCAAGACCACATTTCAGAGATAAGAAAACTGAGGCCCGGGGAGGGAAGTACCTGGCCCAGGAAGGTCACACAGAGAGCTAATGACTCTAATCACAAAAGTGAAGCATTTTGACAGATTCATGAACTCTTGGGCAGTCCCATCTTCAGCTTTGAGGACCTCACAGTCATATTTTGTAGCCTGGGGTGCTAATTAAACCCGAGGAATTATGGACTTACTATTTATGGGTAGGAGTGAAGGCATTAACTAGGCCATGAAACCTGGGGACACAGAAGGAGATTCTGTTCTCCTGAGATTCACGTATCACATTCACCTTTTATATTTTAGGCCTGAACTCCAGCAATGCATACGTTCAACTCCCCTGATTCTGGACTCGGCCTCGAGCTGCATTTAATCTTGAAGGACCACAGGTGCTGCAGCATTCTTGTGGCTTAAAACAGCCAACCCTGCTTTTTCTGACAAAGGTTGCCTTCACCCAGTGGAAAGGGTTCAAATCAGCCTTCCAAGCCCATCAGTTACTTCAAAATGCTGTATTTCAAACTGTTTTTCCATTATTTCAAGTTCTCATTAACAGCACTCAGCCAATAGGCTTTCATTGCATTCACAAGTGAAAACAAAGGAGAAAGGAAACGCGCAGAAATGTTTTTAAAAGACATACCACTTGGATTTACAACGATCTCACATTTTGCTCTTTTAAACAGTTCAGAGTGGCTCTCGCTGGATTGCCAAAATCAAATCTCTCTCCGGAGGCCTAGCGGTGTGAACAAAAGCGCTGAAATCAAAAACTTCCAAGTTTGAATCTGTCAGAGACTGTGGTAGTGGGGAAAGAGTCATTTAACCTCTCTCCATCCGTTCCCACTTCTGTACAACGAGAATAAAACTATGGAGGTCCTTCTCCGGGGCCCTGTGTGGATTGGCTAATTAAAGCTAATTAAGCCCCTGGAAAGAACCAGAACATACTATGTAAGTGCTGAGTATTTATGGGCCGCTAACAGTAACAAAACTCCTAAGGGACAAGATTCTGTGCAGACGGCAGAATCTCTATTGGTGATTACTAATTACCCACCACTTACGAAGGAAGCATCGGGTGTTCTGTAACGAGGCAGGGAAAAGAAACATCACACAGTGTCGTTCAACAACACCATCTTTATTCAAAAATATATATCTATGAGACATTTCAGAATATACTGCTGCCGCCAATGACAGCCTATACTTCTAAATAAAGTCCTAAATTAATATACAAATTTAAGCTTTAAAAATATTCTTTAAGAAAAACAAAACAAAACAAAACAAATTAGAATGAAGACGTTCTGAGGAATATGACCTAAAGGAGAGGTCCTTTGAGGCCTACGGATGCCCTAAAGAAAGAAAACACACAAAACAAAAGCCACCCACCCCACCCCAGCCCACCCCACCGGCCCACCTGGTACATACAAGGAGAAAGGCTCGTTTAAATTAAACAAATGAAGTGAGCACACATGGGGAGGATACAGGGAGAATTAAGATTTAAAACACAAAAGCATTTCATTAAAAAACAAAACAAACCCCAAGACTAACTTCCTCACAGGAAGTCCACTAGTAACAGGTGTTAGGAGGCCAACACATTCATTTACATAATTGCTACAGTTTCATTTCTTGCTCTTGCTGTTAAGAATTACGCACCAATTGCTGGTCAAACTCAATCAGAGAAAATACAGCGATGGGGGAAATCCATCATGCTGTTAACATTTTCATCCAGCTGATCAGAGCAAATATCTACTCTGCCCTTTTGATTTGCGGCTAGTCAAATTTTGCTTCCTTGGTAAAAGCACAGAGAATGTCCCAGATGGGTCCGTTCCACATCAAGCTCGCATGGAGGACTGAAGCAGCACACCACATGGGGAGGGGCGTACGCGCAGAAAACAGCAACGATTAGAAGCGATCTTGCAATTTTCCTGCAATTTTCCTTAGTAAAGTCACCTACTGCCCTCTGGCCTCTGGGAGGAAAACTTTATAGTTCGAGACTCGTTAATTTAATAATGGCAGGACCACAGGCAGTATCAATAAGCAAACAACATCCAGTCTATACTCAAATCCAAAGAACAGCTTCAATGCTACTATGTTCTACACAGAGTCAAACTGAACACCTGCTAGGACTTTTTTTCACTGTTCTCACTTCATGGCAGACAGAAGAGCTTCTAAAAGGAAAGCCTGCACACTGTAAAAACACAGGCTATGTTTCAACATGTTTAACATGTAAAATTACAAGTAATTGGCTTTTTGGTAATCCTGAAAATAACAACGCAAAATAATGGAGATTCTGAAGCCCCCACCGCTGAATTCCTTTTTATAGCTTATGGATTTCAGCCTCCGGGCCCTGACTCCTGTCATACTACTGGGGCAAACTGTTTTCTGCCCTTTCCAATGTCAAAAAGAAGACTGCCAAATCAGAATGATTTACAGTTAGCAGGCCTAACCTTTACTAAAAGCAAGGTAAAAATCCTTTGTAACTACATTATATAGTCATGATATCAGCTGGCATGATAATGGAATTAAAACCCAAAATTAATATCCCTGACTTCCCCCCTTCCTCTGCCCGAGATGAGCTACTCGGTAACAGCCGATCAAGTACTCCTCCTCCTCCGGGCACAAGGATGTGTGCAGTGGCGTAAACTGACAGACAGACAGACAGACAGACGTGCACAGAGCGTCATATCTGCAGGGGAGATACTCAAGTTCACTCGCCATACCGTAGACCTGAGCCCAGTGAAGCAATGCTAGTGTGAGCCCTACTCCCCAAAAGACAGGAGTCTAAAAGCAACACCCGTGCAGAGTCCACACTCTTGGTTTTGCCTTTAGCTTTTGGGGTCCACCGGTGCCATTCCTAACAACTGCCTTCACAAGATTAGGGCCAAAAGATCACGTCTTTAGGAACGTTTTCTACGACAGCAGGAACCCTGGGAAGGTTGTCCGTAGGAACCCGAAGCACGTAACTTATTTTGAACTCACGTCTGTGATCCCCGTTAGTCTTCCTTCTGAACCGTATATCCCAGGTCAGCTTTGAATCTTATTGCTAGATTCCCTAGTCTGCTTATAAAACAAATGCACTGCACCTGTAACTATACATCACTACAAGCAGGGGAAAGGAAGGATCAGAGATTTGGCAAACTCTTCACGGCAAAGCTGCTTGACAGTCGTGCCTCCAACCTTTGGGGTGGACGGTAGCCAGGAAAGTCAATGACTCCAGAGTGAGTCCTTCAGTGGAGGCCTGCACTGAACTTGAACAAACCCAGCTCCGAAAAGAGAAGCGGCTCTCATGACACAATGCTGTCGGGAGGGACAAGATTCTTCTGAAAACTTCCAGAAGTACACATGATTTTCATAACTTCTTGGGTGTAAAGAGACAGCTAAGAATGGAGAACCAACAGGGGCATGAATACATGAAGTGGGAGACTTTGTATTCTTTCCAAATATGAATCTAATTGGACTCCACTCGCCACTGTTCTGAATTGTGCTCAACAGGAGAGGACGGAGAGGAGATTCAGAGTCAGTGGTTCTTTCTTGAGGCTGCGGGACTGGGATGAAGGAGGGACAGAACCAGGGGCCACAAGTTATTTCCAACCATGACTTGCCCTCTCTCTTCTTTCTGCTGGTAGAGATGGGAATTTGGGGCACGACACCTGTCCTAGTCAGTTGAAAACAGGTCACCAGCAGAGGGCAGGGGGGCCAAGCCTCCTGTGACGTTGGGCAGCAACGAGAGGTCTGGCAAGCTCTGAATATGGGACTTCAGTTCCTTGCGGACCTGGGTTACCCGAGCGAGCTTCTGTTTATATTCCTAAGGAGACAAAGAGAGGACAACGTGGTTAAGTCTGTGTGTGCTGATGATGGTCAGGCCTCAGGAGCCAAGACAGATACTCTCAGCTTCCTGCTCTAGTTCTCTTCACCAGACAGCCCCTCCCCACTTCAGCCAGGTTCACAAAAGGAAGAATCCTTTACATAAAAAAGGAAAGCAGAGTTCAATACTGGCAATAGTGAATTAAATCGTATTTAACGTAGCACTTGAGATTTAGAAGTAAAAGCATGACATTTTGTGTTTGCATTGCCTTTTATTGGTGCTTTTCTATTTCAAAACACCTTATAAAATAAAAGACAGATGCTCAGGCTTTACAGTTATTTTGAGGGTGCCACCTAGACATGCCTAGAAAAATCACTATAAAGCTCCACTTTGTATTAAACTGAGAGAGTCATCCAGATCTATCACCTATGACAAACAAGCACCACAGAAGCTCAAAACACCCACGTCCGTGCCCAGGGCTTCCTCATCCCACACCCAAGTAACCGCAGCAAATCCCCGATGAGTCCTTCCGGTAGTCTCCCCTAAACACGCCAGACTTCTCTTCCGAAAGCCCAGCTTTCATCCAGTCACCTCCTTGAGAGAGTGAAGCACGGCACCGTGCTAGCTCCATGGCTGCTCAGAGCTCAAGGTCTTTTAAAATTAGTGCCTGCCCAAAAGTATCTCCCCCAACTTCTCAACAACCCCACCCCCACCCCACAATGCACAGGCCGCTGCCTGCAAGGGCCATTTGTTCAGGAGTCTGCTCCAGCTTCGAGGGGTATCTTCCTTCTCCTGCTCCCAGTGAAATTCTGCCTCCACTTCCCTGCCTACCAACTGAGCTCTGCCTCTTTTTTTTTTTTTATTTTTTATTTTTTTTTCAACGTTTATTTATTTTTGGGACAGAGAGAAACAGAGCATGAACGGGGGAAGGGGGGGCAGAGGAAAGGGGGAGACTGAAGCAGAAACAGGCTCCCAGGCCTCTGGGCAATCAGGCTGAGCCCGACGCAAGACTCGAACTAGGACCACCAAGATCGTGACCTGGCTGAAGTCGGACGCTTAACCGACTGCACCACCCAGGCGCCCCGAGCTCTGCCTCTTTTAGGAAAACTCTTTCTTTCTCTTCATCCAGAAGACCGGTCCCCACCTCCACCCGTTCTGGAGCCCTCCTGTGCACCGAGGTGCATCCGAGTTCCTAACAGGCTGCTCTGAGGTGCTCTTTTCATACATGTTAGACTTCTATGTTCCTCTAAAATATGACTTCCCTAATGACAGGAACTTGGTGTACTATTTTCTTTCCTCCCAACAAAAAGCACCTTTGGTGAATCTGTATGGAATAACAACCCTGGGCCATCTGAGGTCTGTTTATGGCCCCTCTTGGGCCTCCTAGCCTCTAGCTAGCTGTGTACCCTCCTCAGTATTTCTGCAAAGACCGGAAGTTCCTGAGGATGGATCCCTGCTGACTAAAGCCTCTCCTGCAGGAAAGCAAAAGAAAGCACTGGGCTCCGAGGCAAGGACCTGAGTTAGTTTTGGCTCTGACTCCAACCTGCTATGTGACTGTGGACATGGTCTCTCTCTTCCTTCGTCCTCACCTTCCTTATCTGAAAATGAAGGAACTGGCCTATTCGTAAGATTGTTCTTCAAATTCTAGATTCTTTCCTACCAGATACCTTAGACATACTTAGAGAGGCAGAGAGTTTGAGGGCATATGCTCGAGGACTCCTGGGAAGAGTGGTAAGACAGGAAACAGGTTAAATGAAGAACAATTAGCTCAAGTTATAAAGACAAAGTCCAAGAAAAGAGTGGGAGGAGGGATGTGGAAACGTGGGCAGGGACGCTCTGTGCCCACATTAGTGCAGGCAGTTGCGGCTTCTGCCCGAAAGAACTGCTCACACAAGCCATCGGATGAAGACACAGGGAAGAAAGGAAGCTTTCCTGGCATCCCGTTTCTTTTCTTTGTAGACCTCACACAACTAAAATAATGACTTATGTAAACTGTTAATAATGACTCCCCTATCACACTAGTGAGCTTCAGGAGGCTAAGACCGGACCCATCTGCTTTACCCATTATCCACCACAACCAACAGTGCCCTGTGAACAGTAGGTGTCCAACAGCTGCCCAATAAATTAACAACATATAAAACATAACATTAGGTATAAGCATACCACATTAAGCTTTCATTCTTGAAACTGAAAACAAATTTCAGAGATGAGGATCTAAATTGTCAAGGTTCCCCACCCTTCCCCCTCTGCAAACATTTTTTTTCTTCGGTTTTATATACTTCAAGGGAAATTAATAGAGAAGACTAATTCTCTGTTACTGAACATGGATCCATTTAATTAGCTTCTCCTGAATTCTATGTACAAAAAGGGTATAAGAGCTCCTGAATAGTTGCCCCTTGCTCCCTGCCCAGACCCTCTGACCAAAGTAGACAGATGAAAGCCACTGTGACTTGGAGCCATTGCTCCTGGCACGTACCGAGCACTTCAACCCAAGGAATTCCTTAAAAACAGTCTGAAGATCACTGAGTCTCTAGTGAGTGGAGCTAGATTCAGAATCCAAAGCTCTGCACTCTTGGGTGACCCTCAGACTAATTTAGCAAGTCCATGTGAGTTTAAAAGGAGAGGTGGTTGATCTCATTAGACATCACCTTAAGTTCAAATAATCCTCTCCCAGGCAATCTTTTAAAAAAAAAAAACCCAAAATC